CGACACCATCGAACATAATATCTCTCCTGCTTTTAAATGCTATATTGCAATGTTTGTGTTTGAGAAGAGAAGCCTTTTGAGTGTGTGAATTCTTTTTGGCGCATACATTTTTTGGCCAGCGAGAGTGAGAGAAGGAGATTTTTGCGTAATTTTTAATTGAAATTCGTCATCCCGTCACGCATACTTCCGTCTTCGCTCGCGTTACTTTTCTGGCGATATTTTATTTGGAATATTTTTGTGGCCATGCCGAATATCTCACTCTCTCACCATCTGTTTCATGGAATCCACACATGATGCTGATTCTTTTTTATTGTGTGTTATTGGTATTCTCCCATATTCAGTGTGTGTGATTTAATTCAATTGAAATTGAGGTGGAAATTAAAGGTGGGATTTTTTTTTTTATAATTCTCTCATACAATTTACCTTTGCGCCTGCAATGGTAAAATGGTGGTGTTTATTCAAGTTTCCCAATTATTCTGGTTTTACATGGCGAAAGAGCGAGTGAGAGAAGCAGAATGTGAAAATTCTGGGGGGTGGGTGTAGAAAATTTCCCGTATGGCAGCAGAACAAGGTTACACACATTGTGAGAGAGAGGGTTGATTTCAATTAGGGGTTCGCTGGTGGAGAGAAAGAGCGTTTTTTATTGCGCCAAAAATTGCGAGCACTGAGCTTTGCAGCCATTCTTCATCTATTGTTCATTAAATGGAAATTCCACTTCACCTCTGGTCAACATCATCTCCAATTCATTCTGGTCAGTGGCTTCATTTCCGGGCATGGTCTTTTGATGAGATTTCACACACACGCGCTCGCTTTTTTTTTCCTCTGAACACTCTCAAGAGTTCTTTTGACAGTCTTCTTTGGCAATTTTCGCTTCGCCTCTTGCCAAAATGATCCTCTTCGGCAGCGAGAGTGAAGCCGGTTGCTTTTTCTGGGGGTGGAAAGTGTACTTTAAGTAATGTGAGGTATTAAAATATCATTAAGAGTTGTTCGCATTTCATCAATTATTGCACAATTGATGGTTTTTCGTACAATTGGCAAATCGAGTTTGGAAGGAAGATTTACAGACGGTAGTTTCTGTCTTTTTGCACCTTGTTGTGTGTTTGTATGAAATATTTTTGCATTATATCACTAGATTTTTATCTAAAGTACGCTTACAATACAGCAAATAAGCGAGGTCGAAGACGAGGGGGGAAATGTAGGTGAATTTGAGCAATAAAGCAATGACTGGCGGCTGTAACAGAGGAGGAGTTTGATACCCCAAATCAGCACACTGATAGATTATTAAATGTCAAATGTGAGGCATTTAAGTGTCAGTCATTTTCATCCCTCATCTGTGACACACTGTATTCGTCTGTTGATCCCCTATTCATAATATTAATTGAAATTTTTGTATTATTGAAAAGTTTTCGGAGATAAAGTCCCCATTATATCATGTGGAGGCACTCTAAAATAATTAATTTTCTACATTTCACTGTCGCTGACATTTAACATTGGCGCCTTTTGGGGGAGAAAAGTGAAAGAGAAAAAAATATGAAACTCTGCACAAGTTTAGAGTTTGGCCATAAAAACAATTTTTCTTTAAAAAATTTATTGAGTTTTTTTGAAAACTACTTTACATAAATCATCATATTGAAAAAGGTGTTCGTTAGCTTTTAAAAAAAAAGAATATTGGCAGAGTGTTTCATTTTTTGTCCAATCACGATATTTGCACTACAATTCGTTGCTTTTGTGTGTTATTGGTTTTGTTGAGAAATTTCACTGATGCCGCAGAAAAAAGAGCTTAAGAAAACGATACAATGACTTAATATTTCTCCAACTCTCGCGGGAGAAGTGAGGAAGAAGGTGAAGAAAGAAGGTGACATGAGAGAAAATGTCTCAATATTTTTTTGCTTGTTTGATCACGACAGCAAAATTGTCTATTATCTAATATTTGATACACATTTTATGCGGTGAGTGTTCACCATAGCTTTGGGTCTCTCTAATGCTGCAGAGACAGACACAGAGAGAGAGAGAGAGAGTGAAAGAGAGGAGAGTGAAAGAGATTGTCGGGCTGAAGAAATGACGATAATTTGGATGAATATGTTGATGATGATGCTTTAGACGAGAGATGAGAGAGAGAGAGTGAGAAAGAGAGTGATAGTGAATGAAGTTGAGATTCAAGCGGTGAAGAAGTAACACACAAAAAAAGAGCCATTCCTTCACCTCTTGGTTGGGTGTTATTATGAAATTGCGTCGTGAGTGAAAATTGCGTAAAATTTTACTCTGACTTCCAGTTTGAGAGAAAGCCATATGGAAAAAGGCTGAGAGAAATACATTGGCATCAAACGCAATTTGTCTCCTCACACCCGCGCCACAATGGCTCTGGCCCAGGAGGAATGTGTGTCACAAGATGGGATCATCGGGGGTTGGATTTGGAGTCTCTCTTGGGCCTGTGCGGGGATTGGCGCTGGAAAATGTGATGAAAGTGCCTGTGATGTGGGCGAAAATGATGATGATAGCTCGGAATGAGCGGGAGAAAGAGAGAGAAATTCTCTGCTTGAGGCAATGTGTAGGTGGTAAATACAAAAATCGATCGTGCTAATCAATTAATTGAGTGTTATGTTACACTTGATTCCCAAGAGACGTGATATATTGTGGATGAGTAAGGTTCAATTTTCAACTTTTGCCACCCTTTCACTCTTACTCGTTCACGTGCGAAGCCTCTTCTTCTTCTTCTCTGGACGGGCAGAAGTTGGTGGAAAAGTATGTAGGTTAATTAATTGATGATTTGATAGATATTATATTACTTGCACTTTTGAAGGAGCAATAATAATGTTGAATAATTGGACAAAATTTGTTGAATAATGTTCCAAGAATGCGAGCACCTGAAAAAAAAGTGAGAGAGAGAAATTTGTTGGACAATGAGTGTGAAATGCAATCAATTTTACGTGAAATGGAGGCGTTTAGGCTGGAGAATTCCTGAAGCTTTTCCTGGAAGCAGCGCAGACTGCGATGTAAATAATACTTGCGGAGCGATGGAAAACAGTGAAATTCACCTTCATTACGGAAATATTGTTTATCCATTCTCGGGTGTTTCGTGCAATGGCAACAAGTTATGAGGTCAAATGTGTTTTCACTTACCAACCCTGTCGATTAAGTTTCGGATCATAGTTCATAGTATTACGAGCAAACATTCTGGATTAACATTTTATGCGTGATATCAGAGGAAGAGAGAGAGAGTGTGTAACAAGTTCTCTGGCTAATGCTCTTAGTGTGTTGAACGAAGATTTAATTTCCTATATTGGATCATAAAACCATGTGAAATTGCCGAGAGATTCAAGGGCATAACTTAAAGGTTTATGCAGAGAAACAGAGAGAAATAATTGAAGACACAAACGGATAAGGGTTTTCGTATGAATATTTTCGATTTATATGAAAATATGCCTTGAATTATGCCATGTTTAATATTTAAGTGCTCTTTGTCCCAGATTTCAAGGGTATTCTCTTGTTATTTTTATGTAAATCCGTATCGAAAAGAACACTCAACTGAAAGGATGCTTCGGATGTTCAGTCAAAGTGTTGTGATATTTCAATTTGTTCAAGGAGAGATCCTTTAATTTATTGAGCTGAAATATCTTATTGCGTTGTATTTGCAATGTTGGCAAAATGTCTGTTGTGTTGTTGCGAGTAATTTTAAGACATTTCTACACTGAAAGAAAAATCAGGCTAGAATTTAGATCGATTTCGACATGCAATTCAAGAATAATCAGGTTGGAAATCGATTAGTGAAATGAAGTCGAAATTAGGTAGATTCAGGCTATTTTCAAGATTTTATTAAGAACCTAATTTCTAGGTTCAAGAATATAATTTTATTTCTCTGAATGTACTTTGTGGATTGGCATTCTTAAAGCTCTATAATGCTTTATCATCTTGTAATAAGTCTTACTTGCACTTCATTATTCAAACTTTTCCGTTTCAACTGGATGAAATTTATGTGAGTTTTCTGGTAGAAATTTCCACCACACAATATTCTCCTGCATTTGAGAGTATTTTTGCCGACAGAAATGAAGTAAAGTGTAGAAAGAAGGCAACAAAATTGTGGCTTCCAGAGAGTGAAACCCACAACAACAGAGCGCAAGAAAATCAGTGAGCAATATCTTTCACTTGCGCTGGATCTCTTTCTCTCATGATCTCTTGCACTGGCTCAATTGGCCAAATGGTGCTGTGTATTATGTGTGGTACAAAATTGTATTTATTTTTATGTAATAGAAGTCTCAGACGAAAAGCACGCCCGTTTTTTCTGCCGCATATCCAACTCTCTTTCAACTTGTTTCAGTTTTACAAAATAGTGTGTCGAACACACATTCACATTGGCGCATATAATTGTAAAGAAATTGGCCGGAATTTGTTGGTTGCATAAAAATTCCCTCCCATTTAGTAGTGTTGTCGCTTTTTTCACTGTCTGTTGGTTCGCTTTTTTTTCGTCTACTTCTTTTCCTCCACTGTGTCACTGGCTGTGCTTAAACACTTTTCACTACTAATAATGCCTTCTGGGTTGGGATGGAAAAGTGCAGTGATGGAGAGAGTGTTGTTGTCGATGGTGTGCGTGGCGTCTGGACTGTGTGCGGGGAGAGGAGAGTCTCCTTGAGTTGATTATTGTGATTATATTGTTGAAAGAATGGGGCAGACAAAGACTTGGTGTGTCGTTTCCTCGAGCATTTCTCATGGCGCGTCTTTAGCAGAGCTTGATGTTATGTTAGGAATGATGATTTGGCGACAAATTGACAAAAGTTGATGCATTTGTGAGATTTTCTTCCTTCATCCTTCGTCCTTATTGTCTCTGTTATGTAACGCAATTGATTTATTATATAAATAATGACTTACAAGTGTTTCTTTTTCTCTCTCTCTCGACAGAACAATTCCAAGTCTGAGAGGCACAAATGCAGCGATTGTGGACACCAAGGCAATGTGCTAGTGGAATCAATAACGAATATTCAGTATAATTAAATTAATTTGGAGGAAAAAGTGAGATAGATTGGAAAAGAAGTGTGAAGACAGTTGATTGAGATCGTGTGCATTGTTTAAAGGAGGAGAAAATAGAATTCCCATTAAAGTAATTTTCTATCTTTAAATTAATGTGTTGAGTGCGCCTAGGCAGAATATATCCCAAGGATACGCGATTAAGGAAGAGAGAGGGACAGAGAGAGAGGATAAGACATCAATCGAAGGATAAATTGAGTAATTGCCTGTAAGTATGGCTCAATGAAGATTGTGCAAAAGTACAGCAGCGAAGATTTCTTTAGGACACCTAAGAAATTCAGACAAATTTCCATCGGTCCTATTTTGACTTAAATTTTGTAGTTGTCGTAAATTAATTTTCGCTACTGTAAGTTGAGTATTTCGTGGAAAATCTAATGTCTGTGTCTCTACATGTGCTTTCAGGAAGCAGGAAGGAATTGAGAGATTGTCCACCCACGCCTTTCCATCCCTTCTTCACCCCAATGAATTGGCTCGCGACTGTGGAAAATGGCAACGTCTCCAACACCATCTCTGGACTCTTTGCCGGGTGCCACTAATTCGATAAGGTCATTTGGGGAGCACACAGACCTGTCTGAATCACCGCTAACACTGAGTGGTTCATCACCAACGGTCTCAGATTCGGCAATCTGTGACGATTTCCCGCTCAACGGACTGGAATCATCGGCGCCCAGCTCACAGACGGCCTCCTCGAGTGAGCGCATCATCTGTCCCCGTTGCACGGGATGCAAGAGTAAGCAATTGGATGCTGTTGCCAAGTGTATCGACTGTGCCAACTACTTGTGTTCCAACTGTGTGACGGCACATCAATTTATGCACTGCTTCGACGGACACAGCGTCTTCCGGATTGGCAGTGACGGACAATTGCAGGCGACACCGTCACAACATCAGCCACCGGTGCAGCTTCATCAGCAGGTGGACATTATGAATGGTTTCGAGTCGCATCGGCTGGCGCTCAGTCTCAAGGATGAGACGTCGCTGCTCAATAAGGCCAACAATATGACGTCACTGCTCAGCGGGGCGCAGACCAATCCCACCGCCACCAGCGGCCTCAACTCACTGCTGGACGGCGGCGGCGGTGGGCTCCTGGGCGCCACGACATCCGCCGCGCCCAAGACCAACTCGTACTTCTGCACGCGTCACAAGACGGAACTGCTCAAGTTCTACTGTCGCACGTGCAGCGTGACGGTGTGCAAGGATTGCATCGTGTCAGACCATCCGAATGGTCTGCACGACTGCGAGCACGTGAGCGACAGTACGCCGAAGCAGATCGAGAGTCTGCTGCAGCTGGTGACGGATGTGCGGAACAAAGCGACTGACATGCGGGCGATGGTGAAGAATGCTGAGCACAACACGTCGAGAATTCAGGTGCAGTATCACAAGGCACAGACGGAGATCAATGAGACACACAATTTCTATCGTTCACTGCTGGATGACCGTAAGCAGGATTTGCTGAAGGAGCTGGAGAGCTTCTACAATGCCAAGACACTGTCGCAGTCTGTGTTGGTGACGAAGTCTCAGGAGCACGTGGACAAGGTGCTGCAGAGTTGTGAATTTGTGGAGCGTCTCACGAAGCATGCCGGTCTCGCGGAGACGATAATGCTGAGGAAGTTGATGGAGAATAAGTTGCAATCATTTATGGGATTCATTCAGGATCTGCAGTCGACGTATGAGTTGGAGTTTGTGAGCAACTATCAGGCCATTCAGGTGGGTGTGCGCAACACATTTGGCTACATTCGGTCAAGCAGTGAGGCACCGACGAAGCAGCCGCCGATAGCACGTCCGACAAGCAATAGCATCCTGACGAATGGCAGCAGCCCCACGTCCAGCACCGGGAGTCTGAATTGCAATATTCAGCCCCAGACGACGGGCCACATTCTCTCGAATGGGTGTCATGCCATTGAGAGGCCATTCTCTAATGGTGGCACCACGTCAATTATTCAGGCGTCTCAGCCGCAGCAGAGCATGTCCTTTGACTCAAACATCATCTCAAAGAGGTTCAATTCGGTGAATAGTCTGGGACCATTTGTGGGTGATGTCAATATTCAGGTGAATCCGTATGAGAAGTGGAGCAATGGTGGATCGGACAATATATTCAACAGTTTGTCAGATCAGTACACAATTCCATTGGCGCCGAGTCAAGCGGCCACGGATTCTGTCATTGATCTCACGTCAAAGCTCATGTCTACGAGTATGTTTCCGCCCAAGTCGCAGATAAAGCGCCAGAAGATGATCTATCACTGCAAATTTGGGGAGTTTGGCGTGATGGAGGGACAATTTACTGAGCCGAGCGGTGTGGCGGTGAATGCGCAGAATGATATAATTGTTGCAGACACGAACAACCATCGCATTCAGATCTTTGATAAGGAGGGACGCTTCAAGTTCCAGTTTGGCGAGTGTGGGAAGCGTGATGGACAGCTGCTGTATCCCAATCGCGTGGCTGTGGTGCGCACATCGGGAGACATCATCGTCACGGAGAGGTCACCGACACACCAGATCCAGATTTACAATCAGTATGGACAGTTTGTGAGGAAGTTCGGCGCAAATATCCTGCAGCATCCGCGCGGTGTGACGGTGGACAACAAGGGGAGGATCATCGTGGTGGAATGCAAGGTGATGCGCGTGATTATCTTTGATCAGTCTGGCAATGTGCTGCAGAAGTTCGGCTGCAGCAAACATCTGGAGTTCCCCAATGGTGTTGTGGTGAATGACAAGCAGGAGATCTTCATCAGTGACAATCGGGCGCATTGCGTGAAGGTGTTCAACTACGAGGGTGTGTTCCTTCGGCAAATTGGCGGCGAGGGCATCACCAATTACCCCATTGGCGTGGGCATCAATGCTGCCGGTGAGATTCTCATCGCTGACAATCACAACAACTTCAATCTCACCATCTTCACGCAAGATGGGCAGCTGGTGAGTGCGCTGGAGAGCAAGGTGAAGCACGCCCAGTGCTTTGACGTGGCCCTGATGGACGATGGGAGCGTGGTGCTGGCCAGCAAGGACTATCGCCTCTACATCTACCGGTACGTGCAAGTGCCGCCGCTGGGGCTCTAGGACAAAGTGATGCGGAGAGGGAAGAGAACCACCACCGCGACTCATGACAGTGTGTATCCCTTCAAGTAGACGAACGGAGGGCGCGCCATCCCTTTCCCCATGACACACAGAAAAACACACACACAAGGCACATGTATTAACAATTAATCGATGAACTATTCCATGTTTATTTCACTGTTGTTTTACCTTTTTTTTAATTTTACTGTAAATATTAAATTCGATGAGAAATATCACGTGAAGGAGAAGTAAATAGAGGTAATTTGGGAAGGAGAAGTTACTGAAAATCAACGATGTTGTGAAGTATTGTGGGATGAGAGAGAAAGAAATGATTATTCAATACTATTGAACCTCCCAATTTGCGTATATTAATATGACAGAGACAGAGAGAGAGAGTGTGTGGAAGAATGGCTGGAGAGTGTGTGAAAGTGAAGAGAAGACGAGGAGAACACAGCAATTAGCGCATCTCTGGAGAGATGCTGGTGTAAGAAAAAATCCTTCAAGAAAAAAAATTAACTAAGCAAGATTGAAGCGGCGAAGCTGAGTAAAAAAAAAGTCTACAAATCAATATATATTTTTGTACTTTTCATAGAGAAACAATTTTCTAAAAAAAATTAACCAAAAAATGTAATGAATCTATACATATTAATTACTGTATTATCAGGAGTAATTCAATGAAGTGACATGGAAAGGTGGACACACAAACTATTTCTACTTATTCTCAAGAGAAATGATTATACTTATATAGTAGTAGTTAAGGTCTTGTGTCTTCTCTTTTGTACACTGAAGAAAACACAACAAGAAACACACTTCTATTGGACTGAATTCACGCCTATCTCTCTATTATCTCATGACTAAAGAAGAAGAGGAAACCAAGCTAAATATGTAAGAAAGATGGTTTTGGATGAAAGAAAGTAATTTATGATTAGGACAAGGAGTTAAGGAAAGGATAAAGAAAAATTCACTCTGCGACGGGCTAAGAAAATCCCAAAATCGGAAAAAACATATAGTTTATTTATAAATTAAGGACTTGTATTAGACAAAAAAAATGTTTGGCGTCGTTGGCTTTTTGTGTCGAATTTTTGATGAGAAAAAAAAACAAATTGACAAATATATTGTGTAAAAATATATAATTGAATCATAAATTAACGCGGAGACTTAGCGAAATTTTTTTCTGTTCGTGAGACAGAAATTTTTAGAGAAAAATTGGCATGAGATGTATATTTTATAATTTTCGAAATTCTATTTAAATCAATTGGCATATTTAGGAGGAATGATAAAAATGGGTAAACAAAATGGTATTTTATTAAAAAGAAGAAGAGAAAAAAAGTGAAGAAACATTTAACAAAGAGATGAATTTAATAGTGAAAATATTTTACTTTCTTTCGTGGAGAGTCTAATAAAAGAATTTGCAGGCGGTGTGAAGCGATGGGACAAGAATTGATGGGAATGCAAGAGATGAAAAATAATCTTACATAAATATATTAATTAAAGATTAAGCATCAAGTATTACTAAATGTGTGCTAATTGAAGAAAAAAAAGAAAACATGGGAAAGGATGAAAAGGGGCGGAAGAGTATGTAAAAGTGAGATAACTTGTATAGTATTGTAATGCTGTTATTTTTGTTTGTTTTTGGTTTGTTTATTTTTTATTTTGATTTTTGTATCTTAATTTATTCCAGAAATAAATTAAAACGTTTTTTTTGTATGTGCTGCATTTATATTGTATCTCTATTTTTTGGGCAAAAGCCTTTTTTTCTCTTAGGTTAAAAGATTTCTTTGAAAAAAAAACTAGCGCATCTTTGTGAGTTTACTTAGCACAAAAGAAAGAAAAAAAAAGTGGCGAAGAAATGTCGCAAATAAAGGAATAGTAATATGCGTGACTAGGGAATGTAAATAGAAGTATTTTTGATCATATTTTTACCAATATTATTAATAATACTTAATATTTATTGAGTAATTGACTATTGATATATATTGTTTGTGTAGGGCTCTCATATACAATCACAGTGAAAGGAGAAACATGTGAGAAAGGCGGTGGAATAAGGAACATGTGGTGTACATAGATAAATGGAACAAATAAGCAGTATGATACGACCGAAATTATATTATACATTACTTATTAATATGCACACATGAATAATGTTAGCACACTTTTCCAATAGTCAGTCGTTTTTATTAAATAATTAAAGGATAAAATGATGATGAAAAAGTATTTGATATAAGAGATGGTAAGAGAAATGATGAAGAATTGAGATGGGAAGAGGAAGAGAAAGAGAGAATCATAATAAGAAAAAGAAAATCTTGGTTGATATTTTTGACTACGAAACTGATTAAGAAAAATAAGGTTTTAAGCATAAATAAAGTATAAGTGAAGGAATAAAACTAATCAAGTGTCTAAAAATGTGAGGAAAAGCAAAAGTAAAAATATTTTTGGGATGTTAATGTTACAAAAAACCCAATCCACAATTCCAAACAATACTGCATCCGAACTGTAAAAGGGGAAAAATAGTTATTTAATATGGATTTAGAGAGAGAAAGAGAGAGAGAGACAGTGAGGTTGATTGACTTTATTTTCAAACATAGACAATTTATAGCGAGAACAGAAAAGACCACAATTTTTTTTTAACCCAATGATAAGGCTTAGTTAAATATTCCATGCAAGAAACTGCAATATCTTTTAACTTTAATTTAGGCATTTATTTTTTTTTTACTACATAGGATTCTTTTTTTTTGATAAGCCAATGCAATGTGCTCAAAATATGAGAGACTTCGATAGATTTACGATAGGGAATTCCATCTAATCCAGAGGCATTTCCTGACAAATGATAGAAGGAAAAGTGATAAGACAGTCAGTGAAAGAAGAAACGTAAATTGACAAGAAAAAGTTGTTAGTGAAGGGAGAGAAAAAATGTCAACAATTCGTTATTACTATTGACATCTTTCTTTATATTTCCTTATGTTCAACCGAAATGTATTTAGATAAAGGGAGAGATAAGATATATTTTCTTTTTTTTTTCATGGAGACAGAAACAATGACAAAAACTTATGCATTGAATCTTCCGATCCACCAATCAACACTGAAGAAAAACACATCAAACACGAATTTTTGTCTCAATTCATAAGGACATTTCATTAGAATTAACGACACAGTGTTGCTCTTCGTCGCGCCAAACAGAGAGAAAAAAAAAATGGGGAGTTTTCCGCGAAGAGACTAAACAATTCCTCTTCCTATTTGACCAAAATATACTTAGGTAGCAGGATTAGGATTATCTCGTTCACTGGCAGTGTTGTTTTAAGGGCGTAACGATGATAAGAAAGAAGTAAAATTGTTACTGTTGATTGCAGATGCTTTTTGTCGAATTTACTCTGCAATTTCTATCCTCAATTCAGTGAATTTGTCTCGTGCAATTTTGCTGGATTGACGCAGAAATTGATGTTGCAATTTTATGTAGATTGGGAGGGAAAATTATGCATAATTAAGCATAGAATTTAAAAAGAGTAAGAAAGAAAAGGGGAGAATAAAAGAAGAACCACTTAATAATAATAATGAATTTACAATTTCTTCGTACAGACAAATCTATAACAGTGATTGTCAATTAAAAATTTTACACGCAATCGTCTTCTTTCCCAATCTGTCGTCACTTTCGTGTTCGAAAACAGTCTCTCTGCATAAATGGGGGTTTTATTGCAGAAATTAAGTAACAAATGCGCGCGGAGTTTTTGCCGATTGATGATGGTAAACAATATATTGCTCTGGTCTGTATTAAATAAGCACGCAATGAATTTTTCAATTCACTCTTCCTATAAAACGGTGAAATCTCACGTGGTTTTATTTCGTCTGGACATTCGATGGACTTGTATTTTATTCTCTTGTTACTTTTGTGGAATAAATCCAATTCTAATGAACTGATCTCTTGGCCTATATGAAAAAAACAAGTTAATGTGAAAAGTAATCAATTTTGACTACAACTTTCAAAAGTAAATGAAAATGACTGGATTTAGTATTTAAAAAATGGGAATATAAATGTAAAAGTTAGTGCTGTTGATGGGTGAAATGAGGTGGAGAATGAAGAAAAAATAAACAAGAAAAGGCATTTCGACAAAACTCCAAATCTCTTTCCAATGAGCGATAAAGATTGATAGACACTATGAAACTGTTTAGCTCTTAGACTTTTAAATAAAATGAAAACTGATGATGAAAATATAATAACAACTGCCTCCTTAAGAAAAAGCATAACATATATTGAATAACATTAAGTAAGAATCAACACTGTTGGCATTTTTATCCAAACCTTATTTTTTCTTTCGATTCGTATATCGATAAGTATAAATTGAGGGAGAATTGCTGTGGTGGAGAGAATGGAGTTGTCTCTTTAGATGTTTAGAGAAGAGAAAATGCCAATACTATTGGACAGAAGAGAAACTGATGATAAAAGTTAGGCATAGAGCATTAATATGTGTGTCTGTGTTGCATCCTAGTCATATCCAATTTTGAAGAAAAACGGTGTTGTAATGAACATTTGTGTCGTTTTATCCATGCCTTCCTCGTCTTTTTCTAGCATTTCACGTTATGTTTGTGCTTTTACGGTGAGAAATTTTACCACACAATTAAAACACTTCCACCAATTTTCGACACTTTCCATTGATTTCACGTCCCCACAAAAGGTTGAATGGCAAAAGTAAGACAAGAAAATGTCCCTTTATTCACAAACACACAATAAATATCAGAATCAGTGGAAGTGAAGTGAAAAAAAAAATGAGAGATGAGATAAAAAAAAACAATCAATTTTTGATAAAAAATACGTGTAGCAGAGAAAAAAAGGTTTTATTTTTGATACTTCATTGAAGAAGAGGTGAAAAGTGGATGAAGAAAAAAAAAAGAGGTGACGAAATTGCGCGCATTTAAAAATTAAGTATAAGGATAACATTGTTACTGTTGATGAAATTATATCCCAAAATTATGGACATTAACTTAATAGTAATTGTGTAAATAGTTAAACAAGTATTTAATCGCCATACAAGACTTGAGAATTGAAAAAAAAGGAAATGCGAATCAATTGTTATTCTGTATATGAAATTTTTCGGCACACAATCTTTCGACACCCTTTTTGTGTAGGTAAAAATTTTTAAGTAATAATTATCTCTAATTTCTGGTTTCTTTAATATCCCGAGGAGAAGGCGAAGAATATGACAAGAATGCTTGAAAATGAATAGAGAAAATATCTATAAAGATGCGATTTGGCGGAATTACTTGGACGTCGAATGACTGTTCGCTGCACTTCCGCCTCTTCCTATATATAAATATATTTTTAAATTATATCACTAAATACATCACGTCCAGTAGTATTAAAAATTTGTGGATTTTCGCCATGACATTCTCATTGACTTTCCAAACATTGCAACAATTATTTCATGCGACATAAAAGTCAATTTCCGTGTGATTGGATGTAAATTGAAACTTTTAGCCCTCACGAATAATAATATTTGACGAGGGCTTTTGGGCTACGAGCTCGACAGATGTGGTAAAGTGAGGGCTTAAGGGTGATTCAATTTGCAACCATTGAACCAACAATGCGCATTATATGAAATGAAAATTGCGGAAACAATGGAAAATGATTCTGACACTGTTTAAAATCATCATCTCTCTTATTAAATAATTGATGGGTTTTGTAAATTGAAAGCTCAAATTTTGCATTAATTGTGGTCTGTTTATTTTACACACTCATCAACATCGAAATCCCCCTTTTTGAAGTTTTATCACCATTAATAATGTGAATATATTGTGTTTTTTTTCTTGACTCTTTTTTGCATAATTATCGAGAGTGGAGGTAAAAAAAAGAGGTGAAGTAATAAAAGACTGCGCTATTTGAGACTAAAAAAAAGAAAATACAATTTTTTATTGACGTAAAAGATGTGAAAAAAAGTGAGGAACATAAGAAGAGTATATATTTAATGATGAAGAGAATATTGAAATAAATCCCACTTTAGTTTTATTGTGTATAAAAGAAAGTAAAATACATGGTGAATTAATAATATTGAAATGCTTAATAAAAAGAAATGTGTTACATAACAAGTTACTGCGTAAAATGATAATGAAATGATGAAAAATGATGCTGTAAAAGTAAATTAGAATATCAATCAAAATGCAATTTGTGTTGCTTCCAAAAATGAGATATAAAATAATTTTTCTATCACAAAACAGACACACATTCATCCCTAAAAGATCCTAATGTAGAAATTTTCCCTGAGCCTCATCTCTTGCCATCACCATTTAGAGCATAATTAGAGATTTTTCCTTCAAAGACAGTCGGGAAAGTGTCCTGATGGGACACAAACAGAAGAAATATTCTTATTGAAATGATAAAATTGTGATGAAAAACCGTAAATAGAGAAAAAAAAACTCGTGACATTAAAAGGGAAGATGTGTTAAGGGATTTTTATGTAGTGATTTTTTGCTTCTTGTTGCCGAACTTCTCGTAATTGCATGAAAATATATGAGAGCAACTTCACAATCAACCGTTTTAACAACAACAACAACAATTGAGACCACTTTGAATGGGTGCAGCTATGAAAAAGACTCAAACTTGAAGGACTTTATAATTTTTCCTAAGAAGGAAAGAATGTGAAGGATTCGTAACAGTAAAAAAAAGCATTTTTCATTAAAAGTAAAGAAAAAAGTGAAATACGGGACTCAAATTTTTACTCACAATATTTTTATATTTAAAGAAGAAGAAAAAAGGGTGAAAAATTTTAAAGTAATGGAATGGAAAAAAGCTTATAAGTAAATATAAGGATTATTGAGAGAATTTAAAAGGTGAAATAATAGCATGAAAAGTAGTGAAAATATTTTTTTCTCACACTTGATTGACATAATCATTTTATCAAATTGCATTTTGACTCTGGGCGACGGGAGAGGATTTACAGGCGGGATGATAAGTGGTGGAAGTAAACTTCAACTGTGTGTATATTGCTTGACTTATGAATAAATACTAAATATATATATATATTGAATTAATAATGGTCAACTGCATGAAGCGATATAGAGTGAAACATAAGTGTTGTGTATAAGTCATAAGAGAATCGATATAATAATCTATTGCTAAGGAAGCACTAAAGCAAAGACACGAAGAGAATTCAATAAGTAAAATTTGATTTCACTCAAAATACTTGCCAAATTATTTCAATTTCTATAACTTTTCTCAGTTGAGCAGCAAAAAAAAGTCTATCCATGTTCCAAAATACCAGAAATGTAAAGGCTAAAAAAAGCGATGTTGAAAATGTGGAATTTTTCATTTTATTGCAAATTTTTAAGAGAAGAAAAAGAAAAAAACAATAAATGATAAAGCTAAAACAATAATATCGAAACATATCGAAAACAATTTATTAAGTTTTAAAAAATTCTCCTTGAGATAAAAGTCTTAAAAGAAAAAAAGTGAAAGTGAAAAAGTATTGATACAAGTTGAACATTTTTCAAATCGTTATTCAGTTTCTGAGTTCTGCATTTTCTTTATAGGCCAGCAAGGGGTGGTCAAGAGGGGGATGAGGGCGGAAGGATAAGCAGGGGGATCAATAATGATGAATTCCTAAACACTTTTTAAACTGTAATATCAATTGCAATCTCTCAAAACTATTCCTGCTAAGAAATAGAGCCGAACCACGCGAAATTTAATAAAATAAAATAAATAAACCCTTCTCTGTCTCACGTGGAGAAGTGACAGGAAACTTACCGATGTTACTAAACTTTTTGATGCTCTAAAAGTGGCCTCGACCCCACTGATTGTTTGACCAATAAATATTTGTAGTGTGAGAAGAGTAACTTTAATATTTGTAGAAGCAAAAGAGAAAACATAACACCAAACATAGAGAGAAGAACTAAGAGATAAAAATTTGTATTAAGGCAACTGGGAAACAATTATTGATGATGTTATGATATATTGCAAGAAATATACACAGAGAAAGAGAGAATCAGTAAACTTTTCAAACTTAGATGAAGTAAGAGTGAATTATTAAATGGTGTCATTATTCCTTTTTGAGCCAGACGGAGAGAAAAAAATAACAGCATCCTAAGATATATTTGGGTATATCATAATTGTAACAATTTAGAAATGATAAATTGAGGTGAAGATGGAATGATGAAAAATTACGGCTTTACAATCATCTTATGCATATACTTAAAACATAATTGACGATAATTTTAAGATATAAATCTGTCCCACGGAGGTACGAACACTTGAATATGTACATTTTACTAAAGAATATAATGAGATTGAGAGTAATTTATTGACGGTGATTAGGAAAGGTAAAAGCACACGAAAAAACACACACAACAAACAATTTTCTCACCGAGGAACGAAGAAACCCCAAAGATATGAGAAGCGACACCCTCACAGACTTCTTGGGGTGTTCTCTTCCTTGTCCGTGGACGTGTTGGAAGAGAATCCGCGGAAAATTCTGTAGGGTGGGCGCATTTTCTGTTGTTATTCTGATCTTGACTGGAAATTGATGCGATAAGAGATGTTTAGAAGCGTAACAATCGTGGTCTAAAGTGTAGTTTGAGCGGGAAGAAGGAGTAATGAAAAGCGATAATAAGTAGTAATATAGAAATGGTTGTAATTTGTGTGCATGCAAAATGTAGAGAAAAAAAGCAGTATAATGAAGAGGAGAGGAAAAATAACGCAAAACGAAAAATGAAATAGTGAAGAGCTGTTGTTTTTTAAATGTCGTTTTTGAGCGCCAGTACCGTTTTTTGATGTTAAACCAATTTGATATTTGACTAAGGAGGATAAAAAGAAGTCTATATATTTATATATATATTGAGAATGGTGGAAAATTGCATCGTAAACATTGTACAGATGTGTAACAAGAAGATATCAGTATTGAAATCATTTCCAGTTTTATCCAAAAAAAAACTCTAGTTTATCTCTTTGATTTTATCCATGAAAATCTTTCGGGACTTATTAAAATGTACATATTTGACTTGAGATGTAAGTGTTGTGAGGTGAATTCACGGAGATTGATCACGATACGATCGCCCTTTCTCAACACCCAAAGTCTCCATAACAATAATAATGTCAAAACGGTGGGGAAATGGCGATTGTTCGTTCGCGATCATCGCCAAGTCCGCAAGAGAAACACGTTAGATGATAGAAGGCATAACGCGATAAGGATTGAATAATGTTAAATTGTCAATTATCTTTTTAATTAGCATTTAGGGTATATATATACATAATGAAATGAAATGAAAAAAAACTTATACACTCTTGATATAGAAGTGAATTTTAGACATTTAATCTTATGTAACAAGCGCAGAGTGTAAAATGAATATTCTCATCAACTTCTTAGACGTGTAAAATTGATAAAAATTGTTTGTTCGTTGGTTTTTTGTCACAATAATCTCCAGTATATATTTGAAGAGATGAGAAAAATATTAACAATGCTACGTAGTATTATAAAAACTTAAGGAGGAGTGTAAGTCTTAATGCGTAGAATATTATTCAACACAATTAAGATATAAATATCGATTTTTGTCGTCGACCTAGTCATATCCTAACAAGAAAATTATAAAAAAAACACTTAAAAGTATTGAAAAATGAAACAGTGGATAAATTCATGCTTAAATATGCTTGATTTAAATGATCTTGTTTCTTGAAACGAAGAACTAATATACGACTTGAATTTATAGTAATGGAACAGAATGGAACAAGTCTAATGAAGAAATGTCGCTGTGTGTTATCGACTATAATATTTCCTTATAAACAAAAAAAAAACACGTATCTTAAGAGAGTGACTATTGAGAATAAGAGATTGAGAGCGAGAGAAAAAATTCAGATAATTTTTTCCTCTAACTTTTTAAGTTTCCTTTTTAAACGAAAAAAAAACCTTCCACTTTTTCCAATATTATACTTTTATATATCTTATGAAAAGTTTTATGAATGGTGTGTGCTCACCGCAATACACAATATATATGCCCTCTTTCGAGAAGCCTAAAGAAGAAATTTGATGAAAAAAAATGTTGATGAAAACATAGTTGTTAAGAAAATTGGCGCAATAATTGAATGTTGTTGAAGTAAAAGAAAAAAACTCACTTTTTCATATACCAAAAGAAGCCCAATAATTAGACGAAAAGGTATTATTTAGTTGAGAAGAGATACTTAAATAAATTGGTTATTTTTGAAAATTTTGAATAGCTCTGCAGACGTTTTCTTTATAGGGTCGCACGATAATTTATACCAGTGAATTATTCACCGAAACCCTGTATTTATTTCTATGCTCATTAATTGAAATCTTAAAGAAAAAAAAATCGAACTTATAACGTGAAAAAATAAACTGTATAAATTTTAAAGGATAGATGAATGTTAGTAGAGTGAAAAAAATGGTGAAAACTAATAAAACAACGGGAATCAATTAATTTTTTGCTATTAAAAACTTTATATTTAGAAAGGAGATGAAGAAAAATTGGACTGTGGAGTTTTCCATGTTGAACTTTCTATCAAAAAAAAAAGATGAAAAACTATTTAAAATATATATTATTAAAAATATACAACATTACTTAATATACAGCCAATATTAGTCACTAGTGAGGATCTTTTTTCTGTTTGTTTGTTCTTGATTTTCGGGAGAAACAATGAATTTAAGGAAGCAAAGAAACAAGTGAGGACATTCAGCTTGACAAAAAAAGTGGCATTATAGAAAGAAAAGAGAAAGAGTGAAAAAATGCGATAAGGAAAGAAATACTGCACAAGTTTTATATATTTTAAAAATCCTTCCAGTTGCAATCAAAAGACAAAACAAGGGAAATCAAAGCTTTTTCTTTGCCAATACTTAGAAAAGAAAGAAATAAAGAAAAACTCTCTCATATAATTTAAGGATCTCTTGTGTAATTTAACGAGAAAACAGGAAAAATCTCAGAAAAATACCCAAAAAATGGAAACGAAAAGAAATATCATGTAAAACAATTCACTTAATAGGTTTAAAGATGGAACTATGCTTTTGACGATGTTGAGAAAACCGAGTGGAAAACAATCCCAGTTGTTAGGCATAACTTATTTATTTCTGAAGATAAAACTTTCAAGTATTTTCAAGTGGAGTAAAGTGAACACAATTTAGGAATAATTAAGGCTTTCCGATGGAGTAACTAAAGAGCATGATGGATATGTTTTTGTGTGTGTTGACAATTTCATTGTGAAAACTATTCTCTTCAGAAGATCTCAGCTGAAAATCGCCAACATTTGACGCCTCGTTTTCGCACGGAAATCAGAAAATTCTCCGTCAAATGGCGGCCTTTTCGGCTGGGGATTTTCTCTCACCCAAAAAATGAATGTACGTTTTCTATGGATTAAGAGGAGGAGGAGGAGGAATTTCTAAAGCTTATCTCCCACTACATACATGTTTGTATGTCTAATATACTTTGTAATAATAATTAATGAAGAGACCTATGGTAATGTCATTTAATCATAATGGAATATATTGTACGAAGAGTGTGAAGAGAGAAGAGTTTTGCGGGAATGTTTTATTTTGCTGTGTGTGTTGCAATTTTCCGACCAAAATCAACTCTGACGAATTAATTTACATGAATATTTTTTTTGCAAAAAAAAACCAGCCACAATCACGTGCAAAACAATAATATTGATCTGCTTTAAATACCGAGTAGAGGTTTAAATTTATAATTAGGACAAACAAAAAAAATGAAAACATGTGAAAATGTTATGTAGAAAAAGATGGGAATTATAAAACAGTTAACAGTCGTTGTGAGAAATTTTACGCGGAAAAAATAATGAGAAAACAAATCAGAAATAGCAAAACAATCGTCATGAAGCATAAAGAAATATTCATATAAATTAATTGCACGAGTGAACTTCGTAAAGTAATCCTTTTTCATGACATTCTAAAAGTAACGTTTTATTATATAGCTATAAAATGAATTTCGTAGTAGTTGTAGTTTAATTTTTTGTGCAGAGGTATTTTTGGTAATTTTGATATAGATCTTGTTTGTTTGTTTGTTTTTTATATATATTTTTACACTTTTTATATGAAAAAGAGAAACATTATTGAATGGTAGAAGATGATAAGTGGAAAATACGTCAACCTAGTCATATCAGTTTTTTGCACTATTTACTTATTTGCCACTCAAATGGAACTAAATTGAGAAAGAGAGAGAGAGAAAGGAAAAAAGCATATTTTAAAAACGATTTTTATTGAACTTACATTCTCAGAATATTATTTTTTTTATATTTAATATGAGGTGAACAATAGAAATAATTTATATGGAGAATATATAATCGATTCAGACTTAAAATAATTACAATATTACTTGTTAAAATAATAGAATAGGTAAAAAAAAAGAGAAGATAAATCATTTCCTATATTTGTTTTTACCGTAATTTATATGTTTTTTTATTTCTTTGTGTAATTTGTTTTAATAGCATTTTTTTTATAATGATATTTAGTTCTACAACAATACATTTTTTGACTTCATAAACCAATCCTACCACTTAAGGAATGATTATGAGAAAAGAATGCAAGACAAATTGAAAATTTCCTCTATTTATTTTGATATATTTCTTATATCTTCATTTTATTACAATGAAAAAAAAATATCTCTTTAAATAGATTTAGATTCAGGAATTTATTGTTTCACAAAATATCAACTATATAACTAAAAGGAGAAAAAAAAACCACTGAATCAGGTATCTTTTGAACTCAGAGCAAGAATAAAAGCGTATAACTAATTTTGTTAATGGTGTGCAAAAAAGGTAAATGAAAGATGAAAAATATTCCTTTAAATAAGAAGAAGAAAAAAATGATAACACTGAAGAAATCGAAGAAAAACTGCAGCAACAATTACAAGATGAAAAAAGTAAAATAAAAACGTGAAGAAAAAGAGTGAAAAAGAACAAAAAAAACACTAAACTGAATAAAAAAAATAATAAAAGTATATAAATTGAATGTGATTATTTTCAATATTTTTAAATATATTAAATAAAACAGGAAATTTTAGATTTAGAATTTACTCTCGTAATCTTAGATCTCTATTTTCTTATATATTATGCATTATTGAGAATAAAATAAAAATATAAGCATAAAAAATGGGAGTTGTTTTCCTTTCCAATTTCGCCAATCGCCAAATTCGCTTCCGACTCGCGATTGCTATTTTTCACCTCTTTTTCTGTCTCTTCAGCATTCTTTTTAGATTAATGATTGCCAAATATCTTGTTTTTGCAGAAACACAGCGAAGAGCTGAGCGCGGAGGATTTTGCCATTTACTTTCTCAATGTGATCAAGACGCAGACGGAAGAGTAAGTACGCGAGATGTGGAGTGAATGTGACATAAGAGTGCGCGGATTAACGATCATCTGATCGCGATCGCGGCGCGTTGCACAATGTGAGAAATTGCCCGAAGATGTGGATGGCTTGCGTTGGCGATCGCAATGTGGAGCAAACACTCCCGCGGGGAAAAGCTCCAGATGATCGCCATTTACCTTAACATTACTTTCTCTCACTCTCCATTGTTTGCACTCTCTTTTATGCAACTCCGCTCTCGAGCCACATTAATCACCGGTCAGTGGCGTTACCTCAGCGCCAGTTTTTATTTTTATGTCATTTGCCCCACATTTGAGAATTGGACCGTTTCTGCACGGCGGTTTTTTTTTTCGGGGCCAAAATGCTGCTCGATTGACTGCTTTATGACTCACTTTTGCATAAGAGGAATTGTGCATTGAGAGTGAAATTTGAGGATTGGCGCTCGACACAAAGCGGGGGAAAATGGCAAAAGAATGCGGAGAAGAAGAGAATTACAGAGGAAAACATGACTGGGTGGAATTTAAGAACACAACAGAGGTGGGCATTTACTTCCGACCCTCGAATCTGTGACATTGGATTTGTAGAACGGAAAAGAGCCTTGGAAAATCTACCGGGCAATGCGCTTAAGCTCCCAACTGAGAGTTATCGATCTCAACGACACGTTCTGAATACAATTGCGACAAGACTAATTGGGTTAAGAAAGCAGAAGAGTGTATTCTTTCCAGTTTTTCACGTTTCGCACAGAAAAACTTACAAGAAATTTGTTGCTTAAAAAGTTTCTCAAAACAATTTATTTGTGCAATTAAAAATGTTATATTTCATTAGGAAAATCTGATGAATATATAGAAAGAAGCACAATTTTGACAAAATTTTCCTACTAGAATTTTCTTTTGGATAACCCAGTAAAATTCAAGAGTTTTCAGCATGTGCTATTAATTTTAATCCAAGTGTAAAAAATCGCTGAGATTTTTAAAATATTTCTCTATGCAAAGTTTACGTCCAACCGTGCTTAGAAGATTAATTATTTAAAGTAGATTGATGGATACAAAAAACCTAAAAAATACTCTCTAATGCGGCTTTCAATACCGACAAGAATGAAAAGTGTGGCGTAAACTATTAAAAGTCGATGAATGAATGCCAAAACCCAGCCTATTATTTTACGTACATTGCAGAATTTTTGATTAATTTTTAATCTCATTAATTGACACGTTGCTAAACATTTCTGCGAATGCCTTGAATTGCTGTCGTGTCGAGATGGAGTAATTGAAATTGAAAATTTCTAATTGAACTTCTTGTCTAGTTCATGTTGATATTCATTGATTACTTTCCCTCCTACGGCAATGCTTCACCCTCTCCCACTTTGCCAAGCTCTCAACTGAAAGTTTATGCAAAGTTTGCCTTTTCCTGAATTGGATTTCTCTCAGCAAATTTTATCACTAAAATGTAATTGAATTGAATATTTTTTGCAGGTTGACAAGGAGTTCGGCATCCGTGGCGACGACACCGCGGAAAGCGCCAGGAAATGCCGAGGCTGCCAAGGAGAATTCTCCGTTGTCGAGCACGCAAAATACTCTGCACGAATCGACATCGATGTGCCTGGAGATGAGGGAGTTGCGGACCAGCACACCTATCAAGTCTCCGGCGTCGTTCAACGGTCAGGCGAATCACTTCAGCTCGACGCCAAAGAAGACGTACAGCAGGACAATTTGTCTGGCGGACTTCCTGATGTCGCCCACGGAGCAGCGCGGCAGGAAGGGAAAAGGAGCGCAGCACACGAGAGCCATGTCGGCGGATCAGGTGAAGCCCAAGCGAAGAGTTGTGCCGCTGAGTGTTCCCAAGAATCCAGCACCGAATGAGGACTTTCTCACGTCGTCCTTCCGCTCGGACAACAATCTGGAGACACTCATGAAGGAGCAGCGCGAATTGGATGGATCCGATGGCCGACAGGACGAGCGATTGCTGCTGAAGATGCACAAGGACGCCATCAGCAAGGATTTTGAAGCGGAGAAGATTGATTCTAGGTCGTCGGAACCGAAGAGGTCGAAAAAGGTGGGATTTTTGCAGGGTGTTTTGAAGTCTTTTCTAATACGCATTTTTGTCCTCAGGTTACCATCAACCTGTCGGCTGTGACTGATGTCCTGACGCTGAATCTTCTGGCCAGTGTCTATGCAACGCTTATAGAGTGGAATTTAGTGACAAATGTCCTCGCAGAATTGGCCTTTCTGCTCAATTTGCTCAACTCTGACTTTGAAGTGGAGGACAAGGTGAAGTCCTCTGACCTCTCGCCATTTAATGCTCTCAAGAGTGCCAATAACTGCGTTTACTTCGTCTTTGGGGTGCTAAATAGACAAAGACGACTTTTGGCTCTACTGGATGCCACAACAATTAAGATTCTGCTAGACAATGAGCGAATCTCTAAGTTTCAGGAGGGTCTTCACAAGTTCCTAACCACTGTTCACCGTCACAAAGTTCATCTGGTGTCTTCGCAGACATCCAATCACCCAGGGAATGTCTCAATTGGCCAGGGAAATGTGTTTTATCAACAAGAGAATGACACGAGAGACAATTTCCCGTCCGACAAGGAGTTCTCGGCATTCAAGAACCAACGTGATGGATTCTACACAATCCTGAGGGCGTGGGAAGTGAATCATTTGAGCGCCTCGTGGGATTTCTCTCGCGGTCTGGCGCCGAAAGTGCGCCAATTGCTGAATCAATTGCCACTGCCCGTGAATATGGCGCATCTGGCGAAGCTGTTTACGGCCCAATTGATCATTTCGTGCAGCCACGAGGATGCAGTGTCGCAGCTGCAGGACGATTTGGGGGCGAATGTGGATCTGGGAAAGCTGTCGAAGCTCAGCCAGCGACTCACAGCGCCCGGACACTCGAGTGCAGAGATGCAATTTCCGGGCGTGCAAGTGTTCTTCAGGGACTTCATAGTGGCGGCTGAGGGATGTAGTGTGTTTGTGGAGCAGCTGAAGATTGCTCTGGCGGCTGAGTTGACGGATCTCAATGATGCGCCCTTTGAGATGATCAATCTCTCAAACTCTGAGGATAATCTGGATGAGATTAGCGATATTGTTGTGAATCCAGAGACCATTTCTACCATGAGAACACTAGCTAAATTCCTGGGATTCACTGTCACTCTGCCTTTCTCCTATGAGACCAAGAGAAACAGTGTGATTGACAGCCAACAGATTGAGCTCAGAAATCTCCTTCAGCCACAGTTCGACGTGAAGCGAATCCTTCTGGTTGCAATAGAGGAGCACAAGCTGATAGTCACAATTCCCTGGCTCGTGGAGTATCTCTCAATGCTGGATCGGGTGACACTGCAGCTGGACTACTACAGAGACCTGATGGAACTTTTGTACAAATTGCATGTGAATCTGGGAGTCGAGACGTTCTCAATGACGCCCACTTGTCTCTTCACTCTGCGCCTCTGCCTCGGTTGGCTCTTTGATCGCCCCAATCTTCCCGCTGACGCACTCTACGACTACCGTCGACGCCTGGGCGTGTCTGTAGCGAGGAAAGAAAAGGCGCCGCGTCGAAATGGACGTCGAGAGATTGAGAAGAATCTGCTGAAGACACTGAATCCCACTCTCGAGGCCATCCTGAATGCCGCTTGTCCCTTCTTGGGCGACTTCAGGCTCTCTGTGATGCCCACAAAGTCATCCAAAGTGCCATCGAGGACTGGACGATATCGACATATCACAACGAAACTCACCACAGAATCCCCGGCCAAGAAAACCACCATTCAGGACGCTCAGAAGCAACTCATTGACGCCTTTTTGCAATCTCAGAGTCCGTCTATGCGGAAAATAGTGGACTTTGTCACTGAGAGAGTCACTTCAGTGGCTATTAAGAATTTCCAGGTGCTGCACTTCTTGGACATCAAGAAGGCGACGCAGAAGAGAGTGCGAGAGATCAAGTTGGAGAATCAGGAGACAATTCTGGAGGCTTTGCAGATGATTTATGGCGAAGCGCAAGAGAAACTCAACAAAGCGTGGGACGATAATGTTCCTGTGATGATCAGAGAGCGATCTGGGAAGACTCTGGACGCTCTTGTGGCCGTAGAGACGCTGGATGAGGTGAAGAGGACATGTGGAGAGATTATCAATCAACGCGCTCTGGCCAGAGCTGAGGATTGGCGGACTTTGCACGCCAAGGAGATCAGTAAGTCAAAAGAAATCTGTGCATTTTCAGGATGTCTCATTGAAATTCGTATGCTTTCAGGCTTCCTGCATGATGACTTGACTGTTGAGGCCATAAAAATTGCAAAGAACATCCATGCAGCGCAGCAAAGCAGTGCCATAGAAATGAGATTAGCATTAACTTCTCCTCTGCCTTCGGAGGTTTTTGAGGATCTCCAAGAACTCCTGCACACGGTGTCGATGAAGCCGCAGAATCTCACATCTCAGGCCATCACAAAGTGGCTGGAAGACCTCAAGAGTTGCACATCTGCCAATACTTTCGTTCCGCACATCTACAAAACGACGGTTTTTATGGTTCACGAACTACTTTTGGCCACAATCCTGAACAGGAGTGAATTGATCACGGAAGAAATGCTCAGCAAAGCATCGGAATTGTGGAGTATGGAGATAATGAGGCCTTTCGTCACCACTGCAGATGTGGAAGATGAGAATCTTTCGCTGGAAGACAGTCAATCTGAGGGGATTCGCGAGGCGGGCATTTTTTCTCATTTGATAAATAGCCATATTATTGAAGTTTTGCTCAGAAAGTCAACGGAAACCACTGAAAAATTCACTCTTTATGTTGAAATTCTGCATTTACATAATTTTATATCTCTTGACAGTCTCAGGAGGCAAATTGAGGCGGTGAAGACACTGAAAGACAATTGTCCGGAATCGAGAAAGATGTTAGATTGCATTTATTTCAGGGTTTCCGAGAAAGTTCTCACTGTAAAATGTGAGAACGAATTTGTGGATAAATCTTTGTGACTGTAAATTACAAAAGGTTAATTGTAAGATTGGTAAAATGTGGACAAATTTTTCTATGTAGATAAATACAAATATTTTTTGTATGCTTGAAGTTGATTTGAAAACCGCGCCAGGCGAATTTCTAGTTGAATCTACTCGCCGCTTTGGACACTAGCGCCAACCTTATAGAAGAGCATGAATATTTTGTCCATGCTTTGTCTCTGAATGACTGCAGAAGTTCGTGCATTGTCCCATCTTCATTGGAAATGTCAATGGAAGCTCCTGAACGCTTTCCATGAGCAGCGTTTGTGGGTGTAGCGCTGAATTGCAGAGGAAAATTCGTCTTCTCGGCGTGTGTTTACGCATAAATTAATTAAATTTCACGATGGAAAATGATCGATCGGTCTCATTTAGTATTCAATTTGAAGAGTGATTGAGTGAACTTTATCTGCGTTGCGTGAAAATTCACACAAACTGCTTTAAATTTGTGAAAATCCAAGGAAATTCTTTGGGTCTCTGTCAAAAGTGCTTCTCTGCATTTGCTGTTTTGGCAAAAAAAACCCAGAAAAGCTTCAAATTGCTGGTGAGTTTAGGAGATTAGCTTTCCCATATTGTGGCGTAGGAATTTTCCTGTGCATTTGCAAACTTTTCCGCTCGAGAAGCTCGGAAAAGAGTGCTGTCTGGGCGACATAACCTCAAAGTGGGGGTGTTTTGATTTTGATCGCCTTCCCGGATTGTTAATTTCTCCCCCTCGGGATCGCTTTGAAGTCGCCCAGACGCACGGAAAGACGCAAAAATGAGTGGAAATTGCTTTCCCGGCTTTTCACATACATCCACGTGTGAGTCTTGCCGGTGAGATTTTAAGGACAGGCGCAGATGAACACTTCCTGCCCACTCCACATCTCTGGCAATCGGCGCTTCCCTGTGATTCTGTGCTCAATCGCCTCCCTGGCAAATTATGCCTTGCACAGATTCCCGGATTAAAAGCCTTTCAGGAAATCCATTGAAATCTCCCCTCCAATTTTTCTGCGCTTATCACGAGAACTCAATGGAAAGTCCCTTGGGAATGCCGCCGTCTTGTGGCCAAAGTGGTCAGAGATTTCCAGCAGAAGAGGGAGAGTGCGAATCTCCCCGCCAGAGAGGCTTTCCCGGGGGTGCGGACGAGAAGGGGCTCGAGAGCCAGCACCGCTTACACTCAATCCTGCATGAAACCGAATTAATTTCCCATAAAATTTAAATTACCCTCTTCTGCTCCATCCACCCTCCGGATTCCACCCTCGCCGCCCCTCCTTCGCTTCCCCAATCAAGTATACAAAAGAAATTAATTTCTCTCAAATACATTTTAAGCCACATTCGCACGAGTGAAAATTTCTGAGGGTGTGTTTGTTCACCACAAACTTGCCAAGTTTGTAGATAAAGATTTATTCCTGAAACGAAAGGAAAGAAGTTAGATTTGTCGCACAGTTCCTACATTTTCGTCATTTTATGTGCTTCTTAGTTTCAGTTTCGTTAACTTTCAGGGTAAAACTTTGGGTGGAACAGTAGAAAACACCCTTAGGAAGTTATCCCACTACGTTTACTATGGATTAACTGAGCATTTTGATCTGAGCACATATTTTCAATGTCGTATTTTCGCGTAATTGTCGGGTTGAAATGGTCCAATCGGTCCTTTTTTAACACAATTGTAGGGGAAAATGGGACTGATAAGGATGAATGAGTCTTTTAGCTGTCGATTTCAACTATTTCTCCCCTTAATTGGGTTGAAAAAGTAAATTGCACACAAGTTGTATCGATAAGTTTACAAAGCAAGACGAAACAAGTGGGATAAGGCGCTTAGAATGCGCATTTGATGCTTCCAGAGATTCAATAAACTTGTTCCACAGTAATCTCTGTATAGTTCTCGTAGAGACTTTGAGTGTCTAAGAACTTGAAGGAGGTTTTCGTGATTGTTTCCAAATTGCTAACAGCATGTTTATTTCATTGTTTGGAATATGAATCTTTAATTATGCTGCCAAAATTCATAAATTGAGTGGGATTTGATATTACTTTCCCTTCGTCCTTTGATGTTTCGCCTTGTAAGGAAAGCCACTCATTATCTGGGGTATAAAAAATAAAGGGAACTCTCTGTTAAGGATCGCTAAAACCGAACTAGCCTATTATCCCTATTTACAAAGTCTGGAAATCAATGGCAATTGGAAATGCTTGACGTGAAGGACCTCTCAGGTCATTGACTCTACTAATTTCTGCGGAATCTCAATCCCCAATCTATTAGGATTTGCCTAATCACCTCTACGCCGATGGATGTTTCACTTTTGAGGGTGAAAAAGAGGACGGAACGCTGGGCTCGGGGGTGTCTGGGTGCGTTTGAGCGAGAGGGAGTTATTTGTTGAATTTTCATCAGCAGAATTCCTTGAATTCTCCCTCCCTCTCAGCCGCTCGCCGGCTGATCTGCGTGGACCTGAGTGAGATGGCAGGGAATGTCTGGGGAGATGCTGAGGGGATGGATGTGTGTTGAGTATTTGCACTAATACCGTTTCTATGGGAACCATCAATCTTGCCTTGTGTGCATCGGATTCTTGTGCGCGCGCGAGTTTCTCGCTGTCTCGTTTTCCCTCAGGACGCCTGTCTCTTGCCCACCCCCGTGGCCCATGTGGACAAGGGGTGCCCCCATGAGGGTGCTGGCGGAGGGGCAGAGTGGAGTGCTGCCGCCGAAGGGACGCTGGGGTGGGGGAGAGAAATTTAAAGTGACTGACAGAGGATGGCCCGGAAAAAGTGACACAGGGCGATTCCGCCGGCGCATGAGATGGAAGAGGCGTCGCGAGAGAGCTCGCTCTGTCTCATCCGGCCGCGCCACCCACCCAAGTCCACCCGGCCGAGGTATCCTGAGGGTGACTCCGAAGGGGTTTTCGGTGCGAGTTGGGCTCACGGTGCGCTGAATCGATTTTCAATTAAAATTCAATTGCCTCTCCTTTTGCCAATTGCAAACAATTACAGTTTGGGTGCATGTACAGAAGAGAAACAGCGCACGATTCTCCCCATCTCGTCTCCCCTTTCGCTGCTGTGCGTCCTCGCGAAAAATGTCCCTTTGCCTGATTAACATTTAATATGCAATAATTCATTAAAAGCACGAAAGACGAGGGAAAAATCCATCAGGTTGTGCTTCAATATTTTATCCTCTCTCCCAAGTTAATTTTCAGCCCAGGGAAAGGAAAAATGCTCTCATGCTAATTTGACAGCGCATACCGGGTTAAATGTCAAATTATTTTCTTCAGGCCCGATGACGTCATCCGTGACATGCTCAATAGAGGATTTTATAGAGCAATTAGAGGTGCTTCACGGGGTGTTTTTTCGGGAAACTAGCAATTTTTTCACTTGGATTTTGAGAGCAAATGAATTTCCAGTGGGAAATTTCCATTTGAGCGACAACTTTAGATGCGACAGACAAATTGAAATCATTTTGCAGTGAAGCCTATCTTGTTCGTGTTCAAATTCCGAACAACCTCTCGATGTTTCTCTTAGGGGTTGAACGCACATCTCCTAATTTATGGGTATGATTTAGAGAAGAGGGTTTATGTGGAAATCAGAGAGTATTGTAGCATGTATTCAATTGAGCTTAATTCTATAAAATCGAAGTCTTCAATTAGGGTGACTACGAAAACCCTCGCCAATGAGGCGCTGCAGAGGAAAGCCGGCGGAGGGGGAGGGAAATGTATTAATGAGGACAGACGGTGAGAGAGCTTTTTAAAAGTGTTATATATAAAAATTAATGAATCTCATTTGTGAATGTGACATTCAATCAGTCACTCTTGTCAGACACCCTGTTTTTCTCATTTCTCTTTCTTCTCTCCTTTACTGTCACACTTTCTTTTCCACCCTCTTTCGTCCGACTTTCTCTCTCAACTCCTTCCTTCTCTCCTGTACTTTCGCCACACATTTCCAACCCCCTTCGCTGTTGACACGCACTCAGGGAGTCGCACTGGTGAATAGAGTTGCGATGCCACGGCGTGGAAAATGAGAGGAGCTGCTGAGAGGCAACAATGATGAAAAGAGTCGCGCGGAGAGAGAAGAGATGAGGGAAATGTTTATTTAATGGAATGTTATTTATGTTTGTATTACATTTTATGTTATATGTTAATTTTAAACATTGAATTATGCAAATATTGATTCTGTAATATGAAATAATATTAAGAAGATGAATCAACATTGAAAAGGGAATGACAGAGAAAATGAGATGGTGGGTGGCAACATGTCGAAGGGTAAATTAAAGATTTGCCCCCCTCGGGAGAAAATACATTATCTCTTCGTATGTTTATCCTTTAAAGTGTAAATGCGAGAAGGAGGAGGAGTGGAAAAGGGGGCGGCGAGGTGAGAAAAGGAGTGTTGCGGAGGAATTTCTCCTTTTTTATCATTTCCTATTGATTGCCATGTGATGATAAAAGGACTGAATGATTCTCCGCACCAACACCTGACTCTCTATCTCACTTTCGCGGGAAACACCCCTTGTGTGTGCTGTAAATTTATTGTTATTTCTGCCACTCTTCCCCTCTGGCCCATCATTCGAAAACAATGTTATGAATTTCATTCCTCGGGGGTGAAATAAATTACAAATGTGAAGAAGGTGCACAGAGAGAAGAGGGCGCACAACATGTGATAGAGGAAGACAAAAGAGGTGAACTATTCGTTCATCTCTCACTTTGAAATTTCATCATTACTCTCAGGGGGTTTATCATTCAACTAGAATACCATACATAAATATGTCACGGCAAAATCCATGCACAACACTCTCTTTCTTCATCGTCATCATCTTTCAATGGGGAATTGCGAAATTTGTGGCCACCGCAGGAGGAAAAGGGTATTCTGTGGGAAATTGTTTTTTCTCCTCTGGATAGAATTGAACAGAAGATAAATTGGTTTTCCTTGGCTTATCACTTCAATGCATTTCACGGGAAAGTGCTATATTATTAGGTATAGACACTGCGGTTTTTCCTTTACATTTTAGCTTACTGCTTTAATTTGTAATTTTGCTACTTTCAAGGCGACTGTTTAGCTATTTTTTTTTGTATAAAGTTAGTCG